TTTTTCTTTTCAAAGATATAGAATGTGTAAAAGAGAATTCCGTGTCTAAAGTAGTCGCATCAAGTCAAGTGATCATTTGATGGAAATTTTGACAGTGTGTATCAAAATTTGAAAATGTAAAAATCAAAGAAACTTGAATAGGGAACCAATTGCTCATAGTGTATAATTTGGGGGCTTAATTTGCAAATTTCCCAAAATCCGTTGGTATTTATAACATAACAAGACTATCAATCATGTAACAAATTAATGGAAGGCGTAACAAGAATTTCCTTTCTCTCATCTTTATTTCTCTCTATTCTATTAATTTGTGATGCAGTAGACACCATAACTGTAACCACATCTCTTGCAGATGGAAACTACGTCGTTTCATCTGGAGGAACATTTGAAATGGGATTCTTCAGCCCAGAAAATTCTATCAACAGGTTCTTAGGAATATGGTACAAACAAATTTCTGTAAGAACAATTGTATGGGTGGCCAATAGAGAGACCCCTTTCAATGACACTTCAGGAGCTTTAAAGTTGACAGAGAATGGGAATTTGGTACTAGTAAATAGTACTAATGGTGTTGTTTTATGGTCATCCAATTCCACTAGTGTCTCTATGAGTCTCGTCGCTCAACTACTCGACTCGGGAAATCTTGTCATACGAGGTTCCAGTGATGGAAATTACACATGGCAGAGTTTTGATCATCCAACAGACACGGCCTTGCCCGGGATGAAAATGGGGAAGAATTTTGTGACGGGCGTTGACCGGATTCTATGTTCGTGGAAGACTAAGAACGATCCTTCGCGGGGAGATTTTACTTATCTTATGGATACTCACGGATATCCACAACACATGATGATGAGTGGTTCAAGTGTACGTTTTCGATCAGGACCATGGAATGGCCTGTCATTTAGTGGGTCTCCAGGCCTAAAAAAGAATCCGATCTACACATTTCAATTCGTGTTCAATCAACAGGAAGTATACTATAGCTTCGACCTCATTAACCCTTACATTTACTCAAGGCTCGTATTGGATCCGGATGGAGTTCTTCGACGATTTTCGTGGAATAATAGAACACAGGTTTGGACTAATTTGGTTAATGCACCAGCGGATAATTGTGCCCTTTATGGACAATGTCATGGATATGGTAGTTGTGATACTAATAACTCTCCAATTTGCAGTTGTATGGATAAATTTAAGCCAAAAGACCCAAAAGATTGGCTCTCGGCCGATTGGTCAAATGGCTGTGTTCGTAAAACCCCATTGAATTGCAAGAGTGACGGTTTTATAAAGTATTCTGGAATAAAATTACCCGATACGAGAAATTCATGGTATAATTTGAGCATGTCACTTGAGAAATGCAGGGAAATATGCATGACTAATTGTTCTTGCATGGCTTACTCCAATATAGATATAAGAGGGAAAGGAAATGGTTGCTTTCTTTGGTTTGATGATCTGATGGACATCAGATATTATGGTGGAAATGATGGTCAAGATATCTACATTAGGATGGCATCCTCTGAGTTAGGTACGTCTTATTATTTTTTTTCAAAGGTGTACATATTTGTCTTCAAACTAGAGAAGTGAACTTATCAAATGCCACTTCAGTTGAAAAAACTAGTGAAGTGAACTTTATATGTAAATGTTTGTAAAAGTCATATAATGATATTTTGTCAAATCTGATAGGCTCAAGTGGTCTGAAAAAGAAGATACTTAGGGTGTGTCTGGCATCACTTGGGGCAGTTCTTATATTGTTCCTCATACTCATCTCATTCACTTGGAAGAAGAAGAAGGATAGAGAAAAACGGCAAAAAGTGCAGCAACAGCAACAACTAACTAGAGAAGGTGAATGTTCTGTTTATGTTCAATATTTTTGGCCAAGTTGGTTGCATCATTTTCTGATTTAGAATTTGTCGAAAATT